TGACCAGTGGATGCAGCTTTTTCTTATAGAAGACTATTAAACACTGTCAGCCTTCTTCATTAACGTACTAGCACTGGTGTGCACATTTGTTAACTGTCACACTGGGAGATAGAGTCATGGGAAAAAGATACAGAATAGTTAACTTAAAAAAAGTGTTTTTATTGTTTTTAGAGAGAGAGAGGAAGGGAGAGCGAGAGAGAGAATCATCTATTGGCGTCTCCCATACATATTCCAATGGAGAAACAAACCTGCAACCTGGGCATGTGTCCTGACTAGAATCAAACTGATAACCTTTTGGTGCATAGGATGATGCTCAACCAACTGAGCCACATTGTCCAGGGCCAGAATAGATAAGCTTTAAACATGGTTGAAGAAAGTATGGTTGAGCCCTACCCAGTTTGGCTCAATGGATAAGGGGCGTGCAAGAGGCAGCCAATCAATGATTTTCTATCATCATTGATGTTCCTATCTCTCACTCCCTTTGTCTTCCTCTTTGAAATCAATGAAAATATATTAAAAAAAAAAAAAGTCTGTGTGAAAATGGAGACCAAGTGGAGAATACTGTATTGCTGGGAATTCTGGATATTTGTCCCTTCAGTGTGTGAGCCCTGGACACTTGTGAAATCTGAGGAGCAATATGAATAAGCGAAAATGGACTGTTTTGATTTTCTCATCTGTATCACTCATCATCAGATGACACAGTGAAATTAGGATAACTTAAAGAGGATTTAATAAGAGGACTATTTTCAAAGGCGAAGGTGGAATGAAGGGAAAGCACAAAGGATAGTGTAGTGAGTCAGAGCTAGAAACAACAAAGCTTGTAAACAAATTAGGCCCAAAGAGATAAAAGAAGGATATACTCAGTGGAACCCCAAAGGAGAGAGCTGTGTAGAAAACTAGAGAGAGGATTTGTGACTTTGGTTCAGGAGGCATAGCTCACCTGAGGGTGGGAACCGGGGGAATAAATATCTCAACATTACACTCCTCCTTCCCTCTGGTCTCTTGAAGGGCTCCCCATTGGCCCAATCAGAAGCCAGAGAACTTCCTTGATGTGGTCCATCAATTTTGTTTCCTGGGTAGAAAACACAGAGAGAAGGGCCAAGAGCGAATCTGAAGGACAAAGAGAAGATACTCTGTCATTTCCTTTGTTTATACTTTTGTAGTTTATACTTTTGTAGAGATGATGCTGAACACCTCAAGGACTAAGACAAGGAAGAGGGATAAGGAAACTGGGTCTGGATCATCTGAACATGGTATTACTTAGTCTTTAAAATTTGAGAAGTTCTGAAAAACACTAATAAATAAAAACCCCAGTTTTTTCAAGTAAGCCTAGGATTCAGCAGGCTGTGTCAGAAGGTGCTGAGGAGGATATTTAGAAATGTATCTTTGGTTGGTATTGAAGGAAGAATTCTCATTTCACTAGTGAAGTAACTATTTTATCCAAGACATAAGGTAATAGGAATATATGTGGAAACGAGCATTCAAGTGTTGAAGAAAAAGGAAAGTGGGACCAAGTAGCAAGAAGAGGGAGAGCACTTATTGAGGGAAGCAAAGCTTTGCAGAAACCCTAACTTATGACTCATTGCCCAGAACTTTGTCACATGGTTGGTGGGCACCTGTGAGGGAATCTGGGGAAGCAAGAGTTTCTACTTGGCACATTGATGCTCAGGTTTCTGGTAGAAAAAAGAAAGGGGATGCCGAAACCGGTTTGGCTCAATGGATAGAGCGTCGGCTTGGGGACTGGAGGACCTGGGTTCGATTCTGGTCAAGGGCATGTACCTTGGTTGCGGGCATATCCCCAGTAGGGGGTGTGCAAGAGGCAGCTGGTCGATGACTCTCTCTCATCGATGTTTCTAACTCTTTATCTCTCTCCCTTCCTCTCTGTACAAAATCAAATAAAATATATTAAAAAAAAAAAAAGAAAAGAAAAAAAGAAAGGGGAGTACATATTGGGCCAGCAACTAGCAGCATCTACCATCTTAGAGAAAACTAAAACTCAGGGCTGTGAAGGAATAAACCCCCAAATTCATAATTATCAAGGGATGAGTCTGGGATTCAAGATCTTCTCTTTTAAAGATAAAAACAAATGCTTTTGTCCACTTGTCTAAAGAAATGTCATGGAAGGTTGGTTCTGACCTTTTACCCTACATAAACATGTAGCATCATGAGAGACTTGGTGCTTATGAGGTATTTACTAGATACTGGTTCTTATTAAAGGACTGGTATTTATTCTGTAGGTAATGGCAGCTTTGGGCATATGGAGAGGAAAAACAGGATATTTTTAGGAGATGAGTGAAAGATGAGACAGAGGGCCAAAAACCAGGACTACAGGCTTTATTGGAGGAGAGGGACCCTGCCGGGCTGCCTTGCAAAGGAAGAGAGCCCATATGCAGGGGTGAATCCCTTTTGAGGATTCGAGGAAAGGAAAGGGGTGGGGCTTAGGGTTCTTGGAACACGCTAATTGGTGGTCTCATATAAGGCACATGATTAGGCACTTAGGATTCGGGGGCTTACGGTATTTGGCAAGTGCTGATTGGTGGTTCAATGTACAGTCCATATAAGGTGCCTTGTTAGGTGCTCAGGAATGTCCAGGCTGCAGGTACAGTTATGTCATACTCTGTCCATCAGTTGGGGAAAGGGAGGATCTATCAATGAATTAATCTCATCTGGAGTCAGAAACACTGGATATTGGTTCCAGTTTTGACACTGACTTATTACTTAGATAAGTCACTTACTTTTTGATGTGGCATTTTCTTACTGTCTATAAAATGGAAGTAATAATATCTTCTCAAAACTTACAGGTGATGTCAAATGTAATGACAATGTTAACAAATGCTTTAATATCTCTATATAAAGTATTTTAAGAAGTCCAAGAAATGTCAAAGCAGCATCTTTGACCATGGTGCTCATCAAGAACATTCCAGATAAAAGGCAGACCATCACTCCTATTGAATGAAGTAACATTACCATCAAAATTGAAGTGCCCAGCGATATTACTGTTAGGAAGTAGAGATGTGCCACAGAGAATAACAATGCTTCCTCTTCCTCTTCTCTTTTGAAAGAATTCCCCTCCCCCTCTTTCCTGAGCTCCAGGACCTGAAGGAGGCCCACAGAGAGGATCAAGAGCTGCTGCCAGGATGATTGCAGGGGGCCTCTTCTAACATATGGTGTTCTGAGGAAACTGTGGGATTCCAAAGCTGCCACTGCTAGTCTCATTTCAAAGAGAAAATATGAAAAATACCAGTACCCAAGACAGTGGGAATTGGGGCTGAAAATCAAGGGAGCCATGTGATCACAAATCTAGAGTACTTTGTTGCTGGTAGCAACCCAACTTCAAAAAAAAAAAAAAAATTCACAATTTGCAGGTTTTTATTATAAAAAGGTATAAATACTCCCTTGTTCAATGCTTAAAATGAGTTAATGTATTCAGGCTAGCTGCTGAGATGATCCAGAAATATAGGTTGCCTGAGCTTGAATTCTGAATTCTGTGTATTTTGGGAAAGTTACTTCATCTTTCTAATCTATTTCCTCATCTGTAAAGTAAGAGTAATAGAAGCTTTCTTGGGTTAGTCTTGCAAGATAATTTAACTCACATAAATCCATTGGCACACTAATAGTATATATTCCATAAATTCTAGCTCATATTAATATTTACAATATTTATATTATAATACTTATAATATAAAAATTATGTGGCATTTTTTCTTTATTCAGGAAAGTATGTCTTCTTAGGTGCCCACCTATCCTCTGCCATGTCAGAGGCATAATGAAAGGAGGCAGCTTGAGTAGGTTTTGAATCCTGCCCTGTTTCTTTTTTGTTTTGTTTCAATCCTCACTTGAGGATATTTTTCCATTGCTTTTCAGAGAGAGTGGGAGAGGGAGAGACAGAAAGAGAAACATTGATGTGAGAGACACACATTGGTTGCCTCCTGCATGAGGTACATGCCCTTGACCGGAATTGAACCTGGGACCCTTCAGTCTGCAGGGTCTGAACCAAACCATACAGGGCCTGCCCTGTTTCTTATAACGCTATTAGAGGCCTGGTGCATGAATTTCATGCAGAGGGTGGAGATGTCTCCTCAGCCCCACCTGCATCCTTTCCAATCTGGGACCCCTCCAACTGCTGGTTTAGGCCCTATCCCCAGGTCTCACTAACCGCCCTGCTGGCCTGGTTGCCCCATGCAGCCTGCTGCTCAGTTGTTTGGTTGCCCCTCCCTGTTCCGTTACTGGCCTGGTCGCCCCCTGCTGGCCTGTTTGGTCATCCTTTGATGGTCGCTTAGGCTTTTATTATTATAGATGCCTTTCACTCAATGACTTTACCTCTCTGAACACCTGTTTCTTCTGTGTAACTAAAAAACGTGTCTTTCTTCTCAGCCCTTTTGTTTGGCAGCCCAGTTTGTACCAATCTTGTGGTCAACTCAATTCCTTTATTAATTTATACAAGAAGTCCATTAAACTGAACTTATCATGCTTTATTTTTTCATTCTTACTTTGGATTTGTAATACATAGGAAGTTATCTTACCACACAGGTTACCCATAATTTCATTTGAAAAATTTCCATTAGGTTTATCTCTTCATCCAAGTCTTTCTTTCTAGTCCTCAGCTATTGTCTTCCTCTTAAGTTTACCCCAATAACGGATCCGACCCCATTTTCCTCCCCTTTCCTCCTTTATTTTCCAGAAGGAGGTGCCTTTTCTATAAGAAACCTGGTGCCAGGCTCTTTTGCTCTCTTCCTTATCACAACCGGTTTATCAAAGCAGTTCTCGTCAGAATCAATTCTTTTACCAGCAGTGCTTTTTGGAGCAGGGGTCATCCTTTTCCATTATTGTCTTGCTTCTGGGAGTTGAAGAGGAGGCTGGCTGCTCTGCAGGTACTTCCAGATCAGTCTTGTTTTTTTATTTTCTGTGTCTCTGTGTGTGTGTTTTGGTGGGTTTGTCATCTTCAGTGCCCCCAGGTAAAGGGGTTTGAGCTCCACAGCCCTTCTCCTGGACCTCTCTGGTCACATACGGGCTTCTCCTGAGTCCTTAGGGGCCCGATAATGAGACACGTGATCCACTCGGATGGTTCTCCCTTTGATCCTGATTCCGTTCAAGTTGTCCACGGCCAAAATGGTGCTCCTCTGGTCTTCGTAGCAGAGAAAGCAGAATCCTTTGGATCTCCCAGTCCTCTTGTCGCGCACCAGGTGGATGTTCACGACCTCCCCATATTGTGAGAACACGCAGATGATGTCCCCTTCCGTCAGCTCGTAAGGAAGGCCTCCCAGGAAGACCCAGGCGCTGTCTTTGTACTGCGAGTGCCAGGATACCCCCGGGGCCGCGCCGAGCTGGGCCTCGCGGTCATTCAGCTCCTGGATCAGCTTGACTTTAGTTAAAGGGTTCATCTCCTCGGGGTGGGCTTTCTTTAAACAAACTTCCTCTTCCGGAGCTGCGCCCAGGCCTCAATGGACTTCCCGGCGCCTGAAGCTGAAGGAAATGGCGGCAGCGGAGGGTCCTGCGGCCGCACAACATCCTCGTTGCCCTCCGCCCACTGGCTTCCGGTTCCGGCTGGCGCGCTGCTTGCTGGGAAGGTCAGTCCGGGCTCAGTGTCCCATGAAACACTGTGGCGTCCAAGGGCCTAGGCGGAAGTGGTGATGGGAGGTAACTGTCGCTCTTTTATTTCGTTACCGGAACCTGTAGTCCTTCAGGGAGGTGGGCGTGGCCGGGCGTGGCCTCGTTCCCGCGTACAGACACCATGCCAAGTTGAAACCGTGACAAGCCCTGAGTTCAAATGTTACCGTAGTAAATAGAGGCTCCCAGTCCATGGAGTACAAGGGCAGGCGCCATCCTTGGGGCCCTGCCCATCAGCCTCACCGAGTCTATAATAAACCCAAACCACACATAATGAGGTAGATGTCATTCCTACCTTGCTGAGCAGGAAACTAAATGTATTAAGGAACAGTAGTCATTTCCTGTATCACAAAGTCCGATGTGTTTACTTGTCTCGTATACACTGACTCAAATGTCACCTGTGGGTAACAGGGAGCTCCCACCATTATGCGAACGGAAGCTTTTGGTGAGGCAAGATGACTGGTTGAGTGTCATAAGCTTAGTCATGCATGTTTGCATCAGACTAAATGACCAAATAGACATAAAAAGGTGGAATAAGTGTCATAATAATTTGGAACACACTTTCCTTTGAAAAACATTAAAGCTAGAGACAGTGAAACAAGGAAGGGCTGAGGATAGAAGAAGCAACAGGAGAGGGCCTTGATGGGGGCTGGTTTGGCTCTCTAGAAACAGTATGGGTAAGAGTGAGCCAGGGTGAGGCTGCTGCCAGCTTACAGAGAATCAGAGACAAGGGGGACAGATTCAGGAGGTTAGCCTGGGATGAGCTGCTGCTTCCCATTGCTCCCCTGATTGGCGGTCTTGTGGGGTCCTTTAGAATGGAGGAGATTCTTGCCTGTGGGGGATGGTAAGGGGGAAGGGAAAGGTGCTCTCGAGGTGCCAATATCTTGTTCTTGTTTCTTCTTTTTGTGTCTTAACTCCATGCAGTAGGTCTCTGGGATGTTTGAATAATAATAATAATGATGATGATGTAAAACATAGTTAAGGGCTGCTGTCTTGTCATACATGATTATCACATACACTTACTTAATTCTCCTATTTAATAGTAAAATCTAGGTTCACTTAATAGAATACCTGATTCAGTGAAGCAATCGGCACCTTTCACCTGATAAACTAGAATTGATGTGGAAATCTTACTCTGAGGTATTACAGCAGTTTCTACTTCCACTGACTAAGAAAGCATTCAAATACTGGCCCAATGTCAGGTAAATTAATCTCAATTAATCAGTCCTAGGTAGCGATCAATTTTATAGGTGATGCATAGAAGCTGAGTCTATTTTAAGTCTCCCTTATAAGAGGGACTGGGATTTTTGAACCCCAGGTCACCTTCCAAAGCCAGGTGCTAGTTCTACTGCATGCAGGTGTGATGGGATGTTTATGGAAACGCCTCCCTCATCCCTTGACTCACTGTTCATTGCTTTTATTCTATTTCCTTTTGAAAGGGTGGTTAACACCTTGCACTTTGTTTTCCCAAATAACTAACCCAGTTGTTTCACTCAATGACCCGTCTTCCTTCCTAGCTTTCATTTTCAAGTCTTCCCACTTCAGTCCTATTAAGATTATTCTATGTCTGCATATGGATTTCCGGTCTGTTGCCTTCTTTAATTTATCTCAATATTCCAGTTGCTGACTCTATTCCTGGTTAGTTTGTCTTTTCCCCCAAGTAACAATCGTATAACTCTCTTTGTAATGCCTTTCTAATAAACCTCAACACAGCATGAACCAAAGTATCTACTTTACCCTAACATTGGAAGGTAGAACTTGGGTAAATTAATAATGATATAATAAAGAAATAGGTAATATTAATTAAGTACTTATTAAAGAATATGGTGGAATAATATGCCTTAAATTCATGAGTGACTTTGGATTCTCCCAATTGCCAAACAGCAGAAGGGAGTAAGGGGATAAGCCAGAGAAACAAAGTTTTGGGGCAATCTTAAGCTTACCTTTCTCTTTAAAAACCCACACAACAGCACAACCAACAACACAACACAAAACAAAAATCTCAGCAAGTAACCTTTGCTTTTTTCTCACAACAAAACTTCTCCTTCACTTCAGAGATTATAAATAAGTTGGTAAAACATGCATTAGTGACCACAAATTGATGTAGTATGAGTTGAAATTTGTGTTTTGACTTTATTCTCAGCATTTCTGCCATATTAAACTCACCAATTTAAGTAGCTGCCATATTCTAAGATGGGTTCCTCCCATTGACTCCTTTCTGAATCACTCTCTGGTATCTATTAGAGGCTAAGTCTTGGGACTGTGTGATGAGACACAAATAATGTCAAACTCTACAAGGTAGTTTGAGACATTAGGTTCTGAATATGAGGAAGTTCCACAACTATGCTGAGCGACTTGTCCTAATTAGGAGGGCTTGGGTGACTATTTCTTTCTTTCTTTCTTCTTTTTTTTTTTTTTTTTTGTTAAGAAAATTTTTGTGGTTTTATTGTATCATGAGGCATTGAAACATCTGAACAAATCAGTATCTGGACGGTGAGGCAGCAGCTGCTTTCTCCTTCACTTCCTTGGGTTACTAGAGCAACTTGTCAGTAGATAAAAAAAAAAAAAAAAAAAAGACAACCTTTTGCATTACTTAAGTCTTTCCAAGGCATGTGCTGGTACAACACAAACTTCTCCTGTCAGTTGTCACTAGTCTAGTATCCAAACATCATGCACAATATTACATAGTCAACAATATTACATAGTCACGATACATTGTCAACAGCAGCGCACTGCGCCCGCTCCCTCCTAGGTTCTGCTCATTTGTGTGTGATATTTGGAGCATCTGGAGGAGTGTGTACAGTACCTGGAAGAGGAGGGAGGAGGAAACAGCATGAGTGCCTCGCTGGGAGAAGGTCAGCCGAAGTTGTGCAGGGCGAGCCTGAACATGTCATTAGGAACATCTGGTGGAACCCCATGATGGGGTCTCCATCGGCCGTAAGCTGGCCCACAGCCACGCAGAGGATGCAGATATCTGGCGTGGGCTGGTGGTCCTGAGCCGTGATGCTGTGCTGGATTTTCTGGAATGGAAGGCTAGACAACTTCTCCACAGTGTCCTTCCCCATAAGGCATGATGTGTCAATGTAAATTGAACCTCGTTGTCAAATAACTGGTGATAATGTTGGATGAAGCTGGATCCAATCTGCTTCCAAAGTGGCTTGTCTCCCATTCTGGAGCGTCACCCAGCCTTGTTGAAACCCGAGGGGCTGGCACGATGGCTGCAGCGGTGGCAGCAACCCCTTTCCCCCATACCTTTCCTCGCCACCCCCGTTGCACTTGGTTGCGTGACTATTTCTAACAAGCTCAGAAAACAGTCATGCCCCACCTTCCCCCTGGAAGATTGAATGAAATGGAGAACAAGTATCTTCTAGTGTTCTCCAACTAAAAATATTTTTCTCTGTCTCACTGTGGTAAAGCAAATTCCTCTTAAAAGTGGCAGTATTCACACTTTCAACCCCAAACTTCAGGCAAATTAGTAAAAGTAGTCATAGTTTTTTAACTTAAAGCTTTCCTCTTTTTCTACGGTTACTAAGTGCCCTCTGCTGGAAGATGTGTTTAAAGCTCTCGTTAGTGGTAGTGCTTTAAAATGCTCAAATAGCAAGGCTTCTCAAACACCAGGCCAGGATTTAGTGCCTAGGTCATCTCCCTGTGGCCTTTGCTTTGACATGTATTTGACATGGCCTTATTGTTGGGGCCTTTCCTTGTCCAGACTGATACTTTCCAGATTGTTCTTATTCCAGATTGATACCTTTGGGGTTGATATTCATTCTCCCCACCAAAAGCTAGTTGTTTTGGTCTCATTTGCTCAAGATATTTGAGAATGAGTAGAACTGGAAACTTTGAGCTGGTTGGAACCCTGAATACCAGCTTCTGATTGGTCTCCAAAAAACATACCTCCTCCCCCCCAATAATATTTTCCTATTTTTAGATGGAAATTTTAGGACTTGGGGTGAATGAGATGACAGGAGAAAAATGGTTAACTTTTTAGGCAGTAATCATTTTTATCAAATGAGTTTAGTAGGTTGGAGTGCCCCAGACTGGTGCATCTCAGACTATCTGGTGTAGAACCAATTTGTTTCTAAACTGTCATGGGCCAACATCTTATGAAATACTGTAAAGTGAACTATTAGAAAAAATAAAAGCCAAATTCTATTAAACTTAATAGACATAAAACTACATTTTTATAAACATAATCAGAACAAAAGGGGAAATATAAATTTTATATTAATTACAATAATAGGTGGCTAATAAAAAAATTACAATTGCAGAATGATAGGTTGGTGTTATTAAGAATTAAAGTATAGTTATTACACTAAATGCTCTCCTGCAGAATGAGTACTGTGCATTAGTACTTCAAATACTAATTGCCCTCCCCTGAAGGCCTGGTTCCTCACCATCTGCCCTCCCCTGAGGCCTTGGTCCCCCCAACTTCCCTCCCCTGCTGACCTGGTCTCTCCCATCTGCCCTCCTTTGCTGGCCCGGTCCTCCTTAACTGCTCTTCCTGCTGGCCTGATCACCCACAGCTGTCCTCCCCTGTAGGCCTGGTTCCTCCCCACCCCCCCAACTGCCCTTTCCTGCAGGTCTGGTCTCCTTCAACTGCCCTCCCTTGCAGGCCTGACCATCTCTTCCTCCCCGCCCCCCAACTTCCCTCCCATTCAGGCCTGGTCCTCCCACAACTGCCCTCCCCTGCAGTCTTATTCCCTCTAACTGGCCCCCCCCCCCCCCCCCCCCCCCCGCTTATCTGATCACCCACAACTGCCCTCCCCTGCAGGCC